ATATTAATTACAAAAAGATTCATGAAAAAGAAAAAAGAAGAAAAAATTAAAAAGAATGAAAGATGAAAAATGAAACGAAGTATGTTCTACCAATCTAATCATGTTTACAGATACACAAACGGATACGTCCACCTAAGTGAGTCATTTATTTTATTGTTTTTAGAATTTAATTATTTGATTATTATTTATTATTATTATTACTTGGACAGTAGCTAGAAGGCCCAATTATGTAGCAGTACTTTCACGAGCAAGAAACCTTAGATGTCGGCCTACATTAAATGAGGCGTCGTATTGCAATTGCAATAGACAATAATACTGTAGACACGATAAGGCCAATTTTTATTTTTCATCTATTTAAGTTTAAATAAAATTGGTAGGTTTCTTTAATTTCTCCTCCTGATCTTTGTATAATCTTGTTAGTTTAAATGACTAATCTTTAAATTTAAAATTTTGTAATTAATTAGTTCCTAAAATTTAATAAATTTCTAGTGGATCCTTTACTTAGTCACTGGATTTTCAACTATGGAGATTGAATAGATTAGAGTTAATGAAAACAAATTTAAAAGTTAGACCTAACCTTTAGGAAGTTATAATACCTGTTAAATAAATAAAAAAAATTGTTGCTAGTTCAATATGTAAATTTGAATTCAAACCTAAAAATTTTAAGTTGAATTATATATCTCAACTATACAATTTGCTCAAAGAAAATTAACAAGTTCGGTGACTATTAAGTTTGTTTACTTGAGATTTACTAAATATTTCAACTGAATGTATCGTGGTAGCCTAAGATTGATGAGCAACAACTAGACGCAGAGAAAGAGGTAAGACTTTTAAACGTACCTGCAACATTGATGTTCTCAACGATGTAAAGGACATTGTCTTCGTTGATTTCTCCTTTCTGTTGAGCATCCAATATGTGATCAATTGCACATTTCAATCCCTCGTTTGATGTGCTCTTTGTGTTCGCCAATTTCCTGTTCGTAGTTCTTGATTTTCAGTAAAAAAAAAATTAACAGCACAGACAGATAAAATTGATTTCGATTTAGAGTTGATTCTGAACTCACTTCCTCTCCTCGACGAAATAGTCCTTGAATAGTTTGAGCCTTGTTTCCTTAACTTCCTTGCAGATTTTGAGATAACCTCTCAAGAATGGCCTCAAAATCGGGATGAAATCGCCATAGTTGTAATCGAAGCTCTGCGCCAATCGGCTCCTCTCTCCGTTCAGAGCCCTAAGTTTCTGAAACAGAGGATCGTCCTCACTCTCAAATCTTCTATCGAACATAATCCTGTACATATTGTTGTACATCATTAGCTGTAAACGCCTCCGGAGAACGATTCCAGTCGTCGCCGATTCCGGATTCTTCTTCACGTCCTCCACAACGCTTGCGGCCTCGTACTCCCATCCGTAACGGTATTGTTGTACCACTTTGTTCGTGAAAAACGGAACCGTCATTATCCGTCTCATTTTCCTCCAGTGCTCGCCATAGACAGTGAAAACCATATCCTGACCTTTTCCAGTAAAGATATCGAAGACAACGTTTCTGGTTCTAGATCCAAATTCGACTCCCTGAGTATGGAGCACCTCCTTGGCCAGTTCCGGCGAGGAGACCACCACAAGGTTCCTCTGTCCCATCCGAAGCAAGAAGATATCCCCGAATTTCTTGGCGAGATCCGTCAGATTTCGGTGATTCAAGTCATCGCCGACCTGGAGCCAGTTACCGAAGATCGGCACCGGCAATGGCCCTGGCGGAAGCTTGAACCGCTTGCCTCGGAGTTTGGAAATGGCGATGGCGAGAACCACAGCGACGAAGAGACCGACTAGAGTCTTCTCCAGGAGGAGGAGATCCATGGCGGAGAGGATTGAATGAAAGGAAAGTTTAGTGGATGGTTGATGAGAGTGGTTGAGAGAGCATTGGGGATTTTATAAGCATATTCAATTCAATCGTTGGGGAAGACGGCGATGTCTGACGGAACGAGTTAGGTAGGACTTATGGCGAGGTTTGAGGGAGAGTAGCTCTCAGCCGTTAGATTTAACGGCGTTAACAACTTTTCTTTCTCTTTTTAATTACAAAGGCTCCTAAATGAGAAAAGTTTATCCCATTGAATTTAATAATTTTTTTTTATTATTTTCTAAAAATTAACAAATGTAGGGTTAAACTCGACCAAAAAATATGAATTTTAAATCTCATTAAATCTTCAACTTTAAAAATATTATATTTTTTTAAGTTTAAATTATGTAAAAATAAAATAATTTAATTCATTTAGACTTCGCATTAGGACATACTTATAAATAATTAATATTATTACTAAAAAAGGAGAGATTATTTAAGACGGGCAGAGAATAAATTTCTTAATTTGTCGCGGAGAAGGTTAGGTGAATGGGGTTGGTGCGATAATGCGCCCCAAACCAGCCATTATCCCGTGTTGCCAACATCAAATTTCCTTTTCCCATAATTTCAAAGATCATGCCACGTCTTGTTCTTTTACCATCTTCTGGCTCACATTTGTTATGGTCTACGGTTGTAGATACACATGGTTGGTAACGCCCGCATTCGATAATTTTTCTTCTTCAGGGTAATTTTATTGTATTTTACAGTAGCTAATGTTAATTCGTAATTCAATACATTATAAATTGTATGAATATTTTTTTAATTATAAAAATTATATTTATACGCTTTTAATTTCTAAAATTTTATAAGAATGGTTCCTTCGACCGAGCCTCGTGGTCGAGGTACATCGATAAGTGGCAATGAAAATATAAATCAAAAGAACGTTTGATTGTAATAAAAGCAATAAATTAAAATGGTGTACGGAATGGTATAATGATTAATTAATTATAATTTTAAAATGAGATAGAAGGAAAGTATATTATTTCATTTGACTAATACTCATTGGTTAAATCTCACAAAACTTTATAGAAAATTTTAGACATTTTATTAAATTAATTAATACAATTTATATTTGAATTATTATACTTTTTTTTAAATAAAAATAAAAATAAATCAAATATTGTAGGAGGAAATTCAAACTAAAAATTTTATGAATTTTTTTTTAAAAAAAAAACATTGAAATTAATAAATCAATATGAAAAACATAAAAAAAGTCAACGGATATGGTTTGACTAGCCATTTGGAGGCGTTATGTATTTGACGGATGAAAATCCAAGCATGCCTAAGAAGTCCGAAATGGGGTTCCTTGACTTTTATTTCGTAAGAAATGCGACTTTTTTTTTCTTTTTTTTTTTCTTCAAATAATAATTAATTAATTAATTAATTAATTGTGAGAACGGGGGTTGGTAACGTGTCAACTCGCTTGTCTCTCCATTTCCAAATTTCTTGTACGTAATTTAAAAAAAAAATAATTTTCCTTTTAAAATTATTTAATATTTAAACATTAAGAAAATAATTACGTTGGAAATTGGAACTTAAAATAAATTAATATTTTTTAGTCACGTGATATTCTGTCAGAAAATTATTTAATTAATTAAGAGACTAAAATAAAAATAAAATATAAATTAACAATAACCGTGTGAACAAATAGAATTAGTGGGGGTAGAGGGATGACCACTTTATGTTCCAAATTATTGTTCTCACCTACTCCGTTAAAAGTGACGGCGTCACAGCCATTTACGACCAAACCCCATCGAATCCCTTTCAACTACTTGTGTTTCACGGCGTTTGCTCTAGCTCCGTTATCTTTACTTTTCAATTGTCCACGTCATACTCCTGCCAGTGCCACCAACCAACCCACAATATGAAATAAAAATTAAAAATAAAGTTTATTTTTTAAAAAAATATATATTAACCAAGTTAGGATGTAATTATGATTTAAATATATATTAATAAAAAATATATATTTACTGTATTTAGATATATATGAATTTTAATTTAAAAAATGTATTTTTATTATAAATTTTATATTATTATACATATTTCAATTTAACAAAAATAAATGGATAAGATAAAATTTTAAACTTTGATACAATAAAAAATATATACGAGCCACAAAAAATTAAATTCAATAAAAGTGAAAAATAAGGAAAAATAATACTTAAATATTTGAATTTTTAAATTTAATCCATGTATTTTTTTATAAAAAAAATCAGAAAATGAAAATGGAGTGGGTGGGATTTGAAAGGTAACTTACCCAAGACAATTAGTGGTATTTATTAAAATAGAAGTATTTATTCAAAAAGTATCTTTAATTAAAATAAAAGTTTTATCCTTTCACGGTACGTAGTTCTTGAAATAACGTTCGTTCAACATTTTCGTGTCCTGTGCTCTAATTTTGTTTGCTTTTGTCCTCTATTTCATCTACAACAACAAGTACTCGGGTAATAGATTAGTGACGTGATTGTCTCGACATATTTGATATTAGTCATATTTAGATCTTCGTCTAGCTTTGATAAAATTAGGGCAAGGCGATGTAACATGTCTTTCGTTCTATTTTATAGAGGTAGTTGGTTAAGATTTTTGCCTACTTGACACGCTCAAATCTTGGAATCTCTTTAAGATCAGCTCGTACTTCGAAGTACCCACCTTGACTTAAGGGGTGAGGGGTCATAACGTTATTGGGTCAGCTTAATCAAGTCAACTTCTATAAGTGAGCTCATCGATTATCATTCATAACCACATAGTAGGTTGATGCAACCTATTTGGGATTAGGTCAAATCCATGAGAAAACAATCAAATTGATGAGTAGTTATAAATAATATTTTTTTTTAATTAAGAAGAAAAAAGTTAAATTCCGACACAACGGTCCAAAAAATTAAAATGTTTTATCGTTAAAATCGAAAAAAATCATCCTCCTAGTTTTTTCCAAAGAAATAAAATGGTGTTGTTAACTAATTCATCGTCCTCGTCCTCGTCGCGCATATTCTCCAAATTAAACCTCAACTTTATACTAAAAAATCATGAGTATTATTAATACCTTTTACTGGTTCTTCCGGTTCTCAGCACTCCCAAATCCAGAAGCTTCTGAACACAACAATGGATTTCCATTTCGCCTCCTTTGCTTGCCTTCTTGTTTTCCTCGCGATTTCCTCGTCTGCAAATGCCGAAAGTAATTTTTCTTTTTATTTTTCTTTTTATTTTTATTTTTATTTTATGATGATTATTATTATTATTATTATTTTGGTGGCGAAATTAGATATGACGGAGCCACGGCGAAATGATAATCTGAGCCCATTTCAGGCGTGGAGGAGCGCGGTCGAGTGCATGTTCAACGTAAACCTTTTCCTAATTCCTTTTTCCCACTCTTAAATTTGTATTTATTTAATTTCTTTTTTATTTTTTAATTTTAAAAAGTAAAAAGTTGTGACCTCGGGGTGTACAGAAATCAATAGCGTGCACGGAGCAGCAACAAATATGGCTGAACTTAACGATAGAAGTGGCAAAAGAAGACATGAGAGGTTACTGTGGAGGAGGGTGTTTGGAGCACACGATGGACGTGCTAGACTGCATCGACGACGTGAAGAGGGACTTCTGGTTCGCTAATAACTTCGATACACCGACCCTTCGTAGCTTCCTCAATGAAAGATGCTCCAATTCAACGGGTACTCCACTCAGACCAATCTTCCCTACTCTCTCTATAAATAAAAAGCCCTAATTGTTTCACTCTTTTACAACCCCAAAATCTGCAGCCTTTTCATACAAGGATGTGCCCACCACCACCACCAGCGGCGGCGGCCGCGGCGCATTTCAAGTCCTAAACAACATGGTTTTATCCGTCATCATTCCCGTTTTGGCCTCAATTTTATCGTATAATTATTATTATTAATGGTCACAAAATCACAAACAAATAAATAAATGGAGTGTGTTTATTTCGTGTATTTTAATGTGTTAATTAAGGAAGAATAATACTATGTATCCCAAATAACAATGACTCTCTACAATATTATATAATATTGTCCACTTTTAGCATAACTTCTCATGCCTTTGTTTTGTGCTTACCCAAAAGGCCTCACACTATTCGAGAGTGATTCTTTGATTATAAACCCATGACCATTCCCTTCCCTGGATTAATCCAACAATAATGACCTATGCAGATTTACTGAAAGAGATTCGTCATTAATTAAATATTTACTTTAATTTTATTCTTTATTTTTTTTATCTTATTTATATTATTTAGACGAGTAGATTGTTAATTTTTTTTTTTTTTTTTGATTTTATCCCTAATTTTGTTACTTTATTTATATTATTTACCTGTTGGTATCAAAAGAAAAGAACAAGAGTAAAAGGAAGATTAAATAACGAGAACAAGAGTGAAGATTTGGTGAGATTATGTTGTACATAAATGAGATTCTGTTTACGAGTGAATAAATAAGAAAAAATGGAGTATATACATAATTGCGTGTTAACAAAATTAAAAAAATGAACAAATATAGATGGGGAATTGATTTTAATATAAATAATATTGGTAATTTTTACTGCAAATACAACTTATTTTTAAGGGCGTTGATGTTGTATGATGATGTAATATAATGATTTGATGACGTTATTTAATTATACGATGATTGATAATATTATGTGATGTCGTGATGACGTTAGGTGATGATGTGATGATGTTATGTTGTATATGATGTTAAAATGATGATGCATAATAATAAGATGAAAGGACGATGTTCCATATATAGAGACAAAATACAAAATAGATTATGCGTATATTTTGTAGTTCGGAGATGTCACTGAACCGAACCGTCATTTATGGGCCGCTAGTCTCTAAATGGCCCAAATAACAATATAGATAAATGGGCCTATGGATTCAAACTGGGCCTCCCTATCTCGACCGACTCAAAAAAGCCAGGTTGAGAAACGACACCGTTTTCAATAAGATTCTCGAACAAGATTATAAATCAGAGAATTTCTTGCGCGGTACTCTAATTTCTCATCGTCCTGTCTTTTGCTTTCTTGCCCGGAGAAGGAAGAATCGAAAACCAGAATGGCTGCCGCAGCTATGGTTCTTGATCCCAAATCCTCACTGGAGCCACCGGCATCGTTCCCATCGATGAGATCTGATCTCCAAGGCCTGGCGGAACAGTCCTCCGACGAGGATGACCTTTACAGCCGTCTGAAATCGCTGCAGCGGCAGTTGGAGTTCATCGACATTCAAGAGGAATACGTGAAGGATGAACAGAAGAACTTGAAGCGCGAGCTTCTACGAGCACAGGAAGAGGTTAAAAGGATACAGTCGGTGCCTTTGGTAATCGGTCAATTCATGGAAATGGTCGATCAGAATAATGGGATTGTTGGATCCACAACTGGTTCCAATTATTATGTCAGGATTCTCAGCACTATTAATCGCGAACTTCTTAAACCCTCGGCCTCCGTAGCTTTGCACCGTCACTCTAATGCGTTGGTCGACGTATTGCCTCCTGAGGCCGACTCTAGTATATCTCTGCTCAGCCAGTCGGAGAAGCCTGACGTGACCTATAATGTGAGTTTTACATTATTTTGTTTTCGTAAATTGTTCGAATTTGCATAATGATGTTGCTTTCGGCGTTCTTGTATTTCTCCGTTTGTTATAATAGAATTAGGGTTTAAGTGGAATCCAGTCTTGTTATTTTGAGTTGAATTCTCTATAAATTTGGATACCATACTGTTCGTAATCGCAAATTGAAAGAGGGTTAGATTGTTCTTCTAAATAGTTGGTGATCGTTCGACAGAAAAGTTCTATGAAATTTGATAATGCGTATTGTTTTTTACGTTTTAATCGAAAATTAGCATTTCCCGAAAGGTTAATGTCACCTCTTTATGATTTCGAAAGGTTTCAATTGTAGTGTCTTTCCCTTGTGTTTAAATGTGTGGATTTTGATTGAACTACTAGTTGAACATTTTTTTTCGTGTTAATCTGTTCTGAGGTACTCCCAAGAGAAAAATACTTTTTGGTAGTTTTAAAATTTCCTAATTGAACGCATTTTCTGCATAAAACACAGATTGATAGCCTTAGCTTTTTGCCAAGGTTCACCTTGTTTACTCTCGAGTATTTTGACATGCGTGTGAGGTTGCCTACTTTGATTTAGCTGTTTAGACTCTATTTATTTCTTCTGACTTGATATTAATTCTTCCTCGTATCATGTTTCCCTTACGGAAGGTTTTTGAAAACGTAGGGAGTTAGAAAAATTGCTTACTGGTTTCTTCTTAATCATTTTTAGGATATTGGTGGATGTGATATCCAAAAGCAAGAGATTCGTGAAGCAGTGGAGTTACCTCTTACTCACCATGAACTGTACAAACAAATTGGTATTGATCCTCCTCGAGGTGTTTTGCTTTATGGTCCCCCTGGAACTGGTAAAACCATGCTTGCTAAGGCTGTTGCTAACCATACAACTGCTGCCTTTATCAGAGTTGTTGGTTCTGAATTTGTTCAGAAGTATTTGGGTGAGGTATGTTTGGAGTTTCCTATTTTCTTTTATAATTTCATTACTTTTTCATTTTCCAACTTGTTTTACTACGACTAAGTTTGTGAGACGTTCTTTTACATGAACTACCAATTCAAGATTGGTTGTTTGTAGGAAACTAGCCATTGATTTTACATGAGATGTGTTCTTAATCTCAATTTTGAATAATGTTAGACAGAGTGAAACTGACGAGTTTTTCAAGTTCAATTTTTGTTGGAGATCTTTTCGAGATTCAGTTTTATGCTCTTTCTATTCAATTTCAGGGCCCAAGAATGGTCCGTGATGTTTTCCGTCTTGCTAAGGAAAATGCCCCTGCAATTATCTTTATTGATGAGGTTGATGCCATAGCAACAGCCCGTTTTGATGCTCAAACAGGAGCAGATAGAGAAGTGCAGCGTATTCTCATGGAGCTTTTAAATCAGGTACGATATGCATAAAATGTGGATCACATTTCACAAGGTTATTGATGCTGTGATTCTCTTATGTGGATACTGGTTGCTATTTCCTGAAATTAATTAGGAGTGGGATTTTTAAGCGTCATATTAGTAGTAATGAATAATTTTCTGATGATTACTGATTCATTTAGTTTTCAACTTAATTTTAATTTTGGTAGATGGATGGGTTCGACCAGACAGTGAATGTTAAGGTCATCATGGCAACGAATAGGGCTGACACATTGGATCCTGCACTCCTACGTCCTGGAAGACTTGACAGGAAGATAGAATTCCCTTTACCTGATCGCAGACAAAAGAGGCTGGTATTTCAGGTAAATCTTGCAAAATATTTTATTTTAAGCTCTATATTATTTCTCCTGTAGTACTGCAGGAGTGGCTTCTTGATTTTTTTATAATATGTCTCTCTTCAGCTCTCACCCTTTCAGATGGCAGAACTAATATTAGACATCTTTAGTCTTGGCTTGCATGCTGTGAGATTTGCATTTCACTGCTGTCTACCTGTCAATTTTAGTTCATAAATTCTCTATGGTTCTATGTAGGTTTGTACCGCAAAAATGAACTTGAGTGATGAAGTGGATCTAGAGGATTATGTTTCCCGCCCGGACAAAATCAGTGCTGCTGAGGTTCGTAATTCAAATGTCCTTTTGTGCAGTAAATGTGTTTAGCTTAGTATTGTCCATAAGTAATTATAGTAGAAGTCTTCTTTTGAACATCTCAATACTGAAACGTTATCTAATTTATTCTCTTTTCTTCCTCTTGTTTTATTTATTTTTTGTCCCATATCCTTTCGAACTCATTTTTGATATCATTGAAGCCTGAAAAACCTTGTTTTTTGAAGTGCATAGTGTACCATTAGATGATAAAACACTGCGTTTCATTCATTCTTCTGGTTTACTTCTTCAGTCTCATTACCTTGCTGCATATAATCCTCCTCCTCCACGCCGCTTTTAGAATTAGATTCTGAGAAAATAGGGTGTGGGGTTGTTAACTGGAGTAAAATATGGGAATGGAGTGTAGGCAAGAGAGAGACATTGTTCGTGGCTTTCTGGGATTAGTTAAGTAAAGAGATTTAGAAAGGAATGCTTGTCTGAAGAACGTTGGAAGTTATCCTGAAATTTTAAAAAACTACAACTGTTTCGTAACTTTTCAAAAGAAATTCCATGCTCCTTAATTGTTAAAAATGCTGTTACAGTCTTCCTATCATGTAGGAGAAGTTAGTTGGCATCTAGTGTTGAATTAGATTACAAAAACAAATCTTGTATATCATTTTCCCCTCTTCTTTATGGAGTTCATCATTAATCAGTAGTTGTGATGGCCAACTGCAGATCGCCGCTATCTGTCAAGAAGCTGGGATGCACGCGGTTCGTAAGAACAGATATGTGATACTCCCCAAGGATTTCGAGAAGGGATACAGAACCAATGTGAAGAAGCCTGATACCGACTTTGAATTCTACAAATGATCCTCAGAGGTGGAAGTGAAATCTGGGTATGATGATCATAATTACAGATTGCTTTCCTTCACCTGGAGATGATGGCATAGATAAGGGTTGGTATTTCTCCTTGTATGAATCTGTTACTCCTTGCCCTGTACTCTCTATTTTAGCGTCATTTAGAATGCTGCTCTTGCTCAAACTAGATTTCTTTGTTCTTAATGGACTGCCCTAATGTATCCTATCCAAGCATTGAGTGGAAGTGTGTAAGTTATTGGTAATTTGAAGATAGTTTAGGGTAGCCTGTTGTATGCAATCACAACAATCACAACAATCACAACAATCACAATCGTGTTGTTTTAGAGATCCAGAACGGTGGAGGGAAGAAAAGTTTGGAAGACGCATTGAATATGGAAACGGTGGTCCCTTGAAACGAAAGGCATGATTCAACATAGGGAGTCAAAAAGGTCATAATCATTCTTCTTTGACGTTTTTTTACAGCCTCCAAATTCTGATGTGATACACTCAACAACTTATTTATAAATGCTTCATCCACCATATTTGGACACTTCTAATAAATCCAAACATAAATTCCTCAACCTTGAGAAAACCAACTCAAGGAGTTTGAAACATAGGTAAGTTATAGTGATTGTATCAAAGGAGGACAATATCAAATCTTAATACTCAAAGTCAACTCAAATTGGGACATTCTGGATATATATATATATATATATATATATATATATATATATATATATATATATATAATTTTTATTCTAATAACTCAATAATTATTTCATAATGATAAATATGGTATAATGTTCAACATAATGAGAGGTGAGGATTGAATAGGGGCAAAAGTCGGTGATATGGAATGTAATTTCTATCATCAATCTAATTTAGTTAACCTCGTTCGAGGTGCCCTCCATAGGGTTTTGACCCTGCAGATTAAAAAAATATCTCAACAAAATTCATTTGTAAAAAATATTTGAATATAAACCTAAATTTTAAAATATTTTCAAGAAAAATAATAAATTAATTTAAAATTTTAAATGTTTTTATACTAAATTTTATGAGCCAAAATAATTGGAAATAATTATTTTCTGTATAAACCAATGAGAAATATTCAATTATTTTATTTATGTGGGAATCTTTCTCAAATTCCTTAGCACCAACCACATAATTATTAACATACTTAACATATTTTTAAAAAAAGAAAAAAAGCTTTTCTATTTTATAAAAAAAAAAAAAAAAAAAAAAAAAAAAAAAAAAAAAAAAAAAAAAAAAAAAAAAAAAAAAAAAAAAAAAAAAAAAAAAAAAAAAAAAAAAAAAAAAAAAAAAAAAAAAAAAAAAAAAGAAATCTATTATCTAATAAAATTGTAGTCGTTTAGAGTGGAAACGACCATGGAGCGGTGGCATTTATGTTAAGACTGTAATTTTAGAGTAGCTGCAAACGAAAGCATGAGAACGTGGATGGGTTCATTGAAGAACGATGAACAACAACGTACTCTAAACGGCCTGAGCTGCCGATGCAATTAGTTGAACTCCTCAATTTATTGCATGAATTAAGAATCACCACCGTGGGTTTCCTCGTTTTCCCCCCACTGTTCTTCTAAAAGCGACACAAATCCTCTTTCTTTCGGTGAATCTCAGTGCTCTCACTTTTCTAATCCTTATTTTCTCTTTATTTTGCAAACCCATTTTGATTTTCTCTTTGCATTTGCAGTTCTATCGATTTCTTGCCCCTAATTTCGATTTGGGTCTTTTTCTTTCACTCTCTTTTCAGCTTTAAAGCTTCGTTTCTCAGATCCTTTCATTCCGCCGGGATGTGAAGCTTCGGCTCTGCTTTTTACTGTAAGTGCTCTCCGGCGGCCATGGCGAACTTCTCTTAAGCTTCTTTGTACCTCTTTTTACCTGTGGCTGGTTATTCCGGTGACGGCGTTGGAGGGTTCTTGGGTGTCGCTTTCTTCATTTTGAGGTTCTTCACTTCCCCTGTTTTTTAGTTGACAGATCTGTGTTCTTGTTGGAAATATGCTTTTATTTCGGTTGATGTTTTGTTGGAATTGTTTGTTTGTGAGCTCAGATTACACTTACGAGCTAATTTTCAGGCTTACATTTACCGGATTTGTGTAGTCTTCTTCTTCTTCGAAGCTTATTAAACCTGAAAATGATTGAACCCTGTTTTGTGTTCTTGTTAACCATGGAGTTATCCATGTTCTAAATCGCAATTTCCTTGTCATTTGGTCAAAAATGTTGTTGTTCTTCCTTATTTTGTGACTTGAAATTTGTTCTGAAAGGACTTCTTGAACTTTTGGGGCTTGGCTACACTCACACACTCACTGTTCAGGAAGATGGTGACGTTGAGTTCTTAACTTGATAAACTTATTAGTGAAATCCAAACCAACTCATTCTCCTAGTTCTCGTACGAGTACCGAGATGCTTCAGGATCGATGCTCGAAAGATGGTCACGGTCGAGATTTAAGCCTTTGTTTGTTAAAGTTATGAAGTACGAATTCAGCTCGGTTGTTGAGTTTCCATTTTAGTAGAGTACATGATGTTGCATAAATTCTTTACTCTTTGTGTCTGATGTTTCCATTGTGACTGTGATTAATTTCTTCCGGGTTTCTGTCCTTTCGAAACCTTGAAATCGACATCACTTCTCGTTTCCAAATTCGTGGCAGGTAAACAGCAGGGCCCGAACGAACGGATTGTGGTTGTCACTTTTGTAGTTATTCCTGTGCTAAGTAATTCCAAATGAAGCTCTGTTCAGCATCAGTGCTTTCTCTCGTTTTGATTATTGTTAATCTACTTCACCTTGTCATTGCCGACCTGAACTCAGATAAGCAGGCTCTTCTCGACTTCCTATCGTCTGTTCCACATCGTCGGAACCTTAACTGGAACGATAGTTCATCAGTATGCACTACTTGGATTGGCATTACTTGCAATGCAGATGGAACCCGTGTGCTTACCCTCCGACTTCCTGGGATTGGACTGATTGGTTCAATTCCTCCTAACACTCTAGGGAAACTCGATGGTCTTAAGATTCTCAGTCTTCGTTCCAACCTCCTTAGCGGAAAAATACCGTTCGATATTACCTCACTTCCTTCTCTCCAATATCTTTATCTCCAGCATAATAACTTCTCTGGTGACTTCCCTTCATCCTTTTCACCAACACTCAATGTATTGGATCTATCATTCAATTCACTCGAAGGAACGATTTCAAAGACTATCCAAAATTTGACACGGCTAATTGGATTGAACCTCGGGAACAACAATCTTTCTGGTTCTATACCAGATATCAACCTCCCTAAGCTCAAGCATTTCGATGTAAGCTATAACCATCTTAATGGTTCGATACCGACTTTTTTTAGGACATTCCCGGACTCATCCTTCATTGGAAATCCTTTATTGTGTGGATTGCCTCTAAAATCTTGCTCCATAGACCTATCTCCAGCACCTGCCATTTCTCCAAAGCAGAAAAGACTGAAGATGGGAGTTATCATAGCTATTGCAGTTGGTGGATTTTTGGTTCTGTTCCTTGTAGTTCTTTTCGTGATCGTGTGCTGTTTAAAGAGAAAGGACGGCGAAGGCACTGGCACGATAAAGGGGAAAGTTTCTGGTGGTGGGAGAAGCGAAAAACCGAAAGAGGAGTTCGGAAGTGGCGTGCAGGAGGCTGAGAAAAACAAGCTGGTGTTCTTTGAAGGTTGTTCATTTAACTTTGATCTTGAAGACCTATTAAGGGCTTCAGCTGAAGTGCTTGGAAAGGGCAGCTATGGAACAGCTTATAAAGCTGTCTTGGAGGAACCTACCACTGTTGTTGTGAAAAGATTGAAGGAAGTGGTGGTCGGGAAGAGGGAGTTTGAACAACAGATGGACACGGTCGGCAGGGTGGGGCAGCACCCGAACGTCATGCCACTCCGAGCATATTATTACTCGAAGGATGAAAAGCTCCTTGTTTATGATTATGTCCCCGTTGGCAGCTTGTCGTCACTTTTGCATGGTATGTGTCCTTTACTTCTCTTCTGTTTAGTTATCTACTGTATAATACCGACTTGAAGCGTTGTGCATAAGTACGACTCGTGGGTTGTTTTTGGCTTGGAAACAATGGGAGGTGGTCATAAAAGTTCATTTTGGTTGGTATTTTCGACTTTGAACAAAATAAAAATGTGAGATCCCACATCGGATGAGGAGAGGAACGAAACATTCTTTATAAAGGTGTGAAAATCTCTACCTAGTAGACGCGTTTTAAAAACTTAGGGGAAGCTCGAAAGGGAAAGCTCAAAGAGTGCAATACCTGCTTGCGGTGGGCTTGGGCTGTTACAAATGGCATCAGAGCTTGATATTGGGAGGTGGCCAATAAGGATGCTGAGCCCAAAGGGAGTGGACATCGAGCAGTGTGCCAGCGAGGACACTGGGCCTCGAAGGGGGGTGGATTGTGAGATCCCACATTCGTTGGAGAGGGGACAAATCATTATTTACAAAGGTGTGGAAACTTCTACCTAGCAGACGCGTTTTAAAAACCTTAAGGGAAGTCTGAAAGGGAAAACCCAAAGAGGACAATATCTGCTGATGGTGGGCTTGAGTTGTTTCAAATGGTATTAGAGCCAGACACCGGATAGTGTGCTAACGAGAACGTTGAACCCCAAAAGAGGATGAATTGTGAGATTCCACATCGGTTGGGGAGGGAAACGAGCAAGGTTGATATATCTCATGTTAGCTATGTACTGTGTATTGCAGGAAACAGAGGAGGGGAAAGAACACCAGTTGACTGGGACACAAGACTCAAAATTGCTCTTACAGCAGCAAAGGGCATTGCTCATATTCATACAATGGGTGGTCCAAAGTTCACTCATGGAAACATCAAGGCCTCAAATATTCTCCTAAACCAAGATCTCAATGCTTCTGTCTCTGACTTTGGCCTTACCCCTCTTATGAATGTCCCAACTTCTCGAACTGCAGGTTATCGTGCACCCGAGGTGATCGAAGCTCGTAAACACACTCACAAGTCAGATGTTTACAGCTTTGGTGTTCTTCTTCTCGAAATGCTAACTGGAAAAGCTCCCCTCCAATCACCTGGTCGTGACGAAATGGTCGATCTTCCTCGGTGGGTCCAATCGGTCGTGAGGGAGGAATGGACAGCTGAGGTTTTCGATGTTGAGCTAATGAGGTACCAGAATATTGAAGAAGAAATGGTGCAGATGTTGCAAATAGCAATGACTTGTGTAGCGAAGCTGCCCGACATGAGACCGAACATGGACGAAGTTGTTAGAATGATCGAAGAAATACGGCAATCCGACTCGGAGAACCGGCCATCTTCCGAAGAAAACAGATCCAAGGACTCAAATGTGCAGACCCCATGAATTCTTTGATTGAGAGATTGTGTTTATTTTCATTATTTTAGAAGGAATTGTCCAAATTAGAAGGTAAGTTTGTACTTTGTAGAGTACACTCATTCTTAATTTTCTTTCAATTTAAAATATTTGTTTTCTTAGTTTAATTACAGATATTTTAACCTGAATCATTATAGTTGAGTTGGGTTATTTTTTTTACTAACCTAACTGGTTCGGTTTAGGTATCGTAGTGAGCTCACAAACGTAGCCTTCTTCAATATCTTCGTAGCACCACTCTAGGTCTAAACGGGTAGCGTGCAACTCATTTGAGGTTATGTTCTTATCATGTTTGAACTATTTCGAGTCAGTAAAATTTCAGTAGTTGGTGTTTCTGTCTCCTCAACACAATTTTAATTGTGGATTGACATGTATTTGTTTGAATTATGAATCTAATATTATTATTCTAAGACTATACTAATAATTTTTTATTTATCGTGAATAAATATAATTTTTTTTTTAAACAAACTCTAAGTTTTTCGACTTATAATAATAAGAAAAAAATACTTTTATTTTCTAAAATTTTCAAATATAAATATAAAAATTTAGATATTTTTGTTTACTCCATTAAAAATGGGTTAATTTACGTATTTTTAAATAATAATAATAATTATTATTATTTTACTTTTCGAAAGATATTTAAAAGACAAAATATGGAAATTAAGAATATATATATATATATATTTATATATTTTGAATAATTTAGTAAATAATTTAAATATGGTAAAAAAAATGGAGAATGGAAAAATTCTAGAAGCATCTGTTTCCTTATTTAAAAGGCTGCGAAAATTATTTCATTCAGGATTCGCTTCTTCTCTCTTCGAAATTGTGAAGCCCTTCATCGTATACAGACCGGCCAAGGTATTCGCCGACTTCATCTCTATCTTTCTTCACTTATTTTTCACTTTTTCAAGGTTAATCAGCCGTTTTCTGGGCTCCTTCAACTTAAATTTCGCTATGTTTTGTGTTTGGGGAGCCAGGTTTCTTGTTCGTATTCTGGAAATTAATGGCTTCAAAGCGGATTCTTAAAGAGCTCAAGGATTTGCAGAAGGATCCTCCTACTTCTTGCAGCGCTGGTATTTCACCTTCGTTTCATGCTGCATTCTCAGCTTAATTAGGGTGATTGTTTCTAATGCGACAACCTATTTTGGGTTCTTTTCTATTTTGAGATTGTCGAACATGGTGTGCCCTTCCTTTCAATCCTTAATTGATTATTGATTTCTTCGTCGTGAACATTATTTCTTTGCTGGTCTGCTTCCAAATTGCCCGTTGTTAATTCGTTTTCAATTGTTCTGCTGTTGTTGTCTCCCAAAAGTACCTCAAAGTTCGTACGTGTTCTTGTTTTTCAATAGGTCCTGTGGCTGAAGACATGTTTCATTGGCAAGCAACTATCATGGGACCTACTGACTCTCCATACTCTGGAGGTGTATTCTTAGTTTCTATCCATTTTCCTCCGGACTATCCTTTCAAGCCTCCAAAGGTTAAGTAATTTCTAATACCGCTGTGTTCAGATATGCCCCAAGAATTGGTTTCTGTGCTTACTAGAATTAGATATGTATTGAGTATGACATTGTCTTTTTGTTCAGCTGAATATTCGTACTGTTCCATTTATCTTGATTGTTTTATTTAGTTTTCCCCTTGTTTGATGCTCTTGATTTCCATAGTTTCGTGCTACCTACAATGTTACTGTAGGAATATTTGTAGTGAACTTTTTGAAACCTCGCAGGTGGCTTTTAGGACTAAGGTGTTCCACCCGAACATTAATAGCAATGGTAGCATATGTCTGGACATTCTTAAGGAACAGTGGAGCCCTGCGCTAACTATTTCCAAGGTTAGTCTAAATATACAGTCGATTGAAATAGTTTCTAACTTTGATTAGTGGTGTTTGAGCGGTTCTCTATTTTTGTTCCAACCATCTGTTACTTTGTTTTATTGCTACAATTTGGCTGTTTGTTCGAACGTAGTTTGCTTTTAACAATCTTTCAAGAATAACAAAATTACTTGAGTTTGCTGAATGGCCTTGAAATTGTTTTTCCATGTCTGGTTTTTTGCACTACATGAAATGATTTTCTCCCCTCAATTGTATTGAGTTTTCTGGCTATTGTGGAGTATGGATCCTAAAGAATGGAAACGTAAAGCAATCCTTGGATCCCAATGATTCAAGCGGGATGATTTTGGATTTTGCTTTATTACATTGGTGGTTCTCCAAGGAACTGGTATTTTCAGGCTGTTGTTGTTGAGAACCGTTGGGAGAGGAGTCCCACATTGGTTAATTAAGAGGTTAATTATGGGTTTATAATAAGGAATATATCTCCATTGGAATGAGGCTTTTTGGGAAAACCAAAAGTAAAGTCACGAGAACTTATACGTTAATTATTTGAGCTTGTGGTAGTAACCAGGAGAAGTTCATCTGTCCGATTAGTATGCCTTCTGTAAATCAGCTATTGTATGCAATCAATTTGAAGTTAGAATCTTATAGTAAAACTTTAATGAATGTATTTCAGGTGCTTTTGTCCATATGCTCACTGCTAACTGACCCCAACCCGGATGATCCTCTCGTTCCCGAAATTGCTCACATGTACAAGACTGATAGAGCCAAGTATGAAGGTACTGCACGCAGCTGGACTCAGAAGTATGCTATGGGATAATGGACTATAACCTCAACCATTTCAGCTCTTGAAGAAAGAAGTGTCCTTGAATCTTGTTTCCATGAAAAAGCGAAAGAAATGAAAGCCTGTGTGCTCGTAAAACTTGAATTTTTTTAAGAGCTTAACTTTGATTGTGAATATTGATTTGAAGAAATTATATTATCTTACTCTATATTCTCTAATGATTGATTATTCATTCTACCCTATCTCGCTAATGTCAGACCAACATGTTTTATGGGCTTTTTTTTATTAGCATGTTAATACATTGGCTAATGTTTGTTTGTCTGTGTTGTATATATATTGTTGTTAGCGCTACACTTCAAGATGTGTTTATTAGGGAGAAATTTTTGTACCTTTGCAAGGTATGTTTCGTTTCCTTTTTCAATGGGAAGTTTACAATGTACATTACTTCTTTCATTACATTATATCTCGTCAACATTATTTTTTAAATGGTGTGAAGTTTTTGACTTAGAAACGAAGTCCTGGTTCGATCATAGAACTAAATTTTTGTTTCAAACTGAACGTAGGAATTAATTCATCATTCACCAAACAGCAAAGCACTTGAGAGCACAGAAACATGTGGATTTGTTTTAGAGCACATATACTTTTGACTTTTAGGAGCAGATCTCAGTCAATCCAAGTCGTCCTAGTGGGAAGTGATTGGAAGAAGCCAAAATATCAAGTCTTGTTCTCTTTGAATGTAAATTAATTTATTTCTTAACATATAAATATATGTGTATATATATATATAAAATTTGAACATTCTTTGATGTCCTATATATCTGCCTTCAATCTCTGTTTGCTTGGACTTGGATTTTCCACTCCCAAGTCTTCCCTTTTCATATTCTCTGCTTTTTCTTCTTCTTCTTTTCTGAACTCAAAAGGGGTTCTTAGTGTTTGATCCATTTCTATGTAATTTAGTTTGTTGTGAAAAGTTGTTTCAATGGTGTTCTTGCGTTTCATCCTTCTTCTTCTTCTCTGTTTTGCTGATTTTACAGATTGATTGATCTTCTTTTGCTGTGTTACTCTGTGTTGTTTTGTGTATGCCCACTTGGGAGTTTTGATCTTACCCCCTTCTGAGGATTTTGTTAAGATTGATTGTTGTTTCAGATCTAACATGTCTGTGGGAGAAATGGGTTTTTTTCCAGAGCGTAGAATCAACCACCGTCGGAAACCGCCAAGTTCCGGCGACTCTCTGGAACTGCAGCAGAAGCTTGTTAGGATCATCGTTACCGACGCCGATGCCACGGATTCATCCAGTGATGATGAAGGGGTTTCCGGCTCAACAGAAGGAATTAGGAGACAAGTTAGAGAGATTCCTATTGGATGTTACTCTGTTTTTTATGGTTCATCAGAGACCCCTGTTCCGGCGATTAGCAAGAAACGAAGCAATCGATCACAAAGCTCCAAATCCTCTCACCGGAAGAAGTTTAGAGGAGTCCGGCAGCGTCCGTGGGGTCGGTGGGCGGCGGAAATCCGAGATCCGACTCGTGGGAAGCGGATATGGCTCGGAACATTCAATACGGCGGAGGAGGCGGCGGCGGTTTACGACCGAGCTGCTCTGAAACTCCACGGTCCAAACGCCGAGACGAACTTCTCCGGTGAGGGTGAGGTTTCCACGGCGGCCAAGGGCGGTAGCAAGCAGGAGGACGGATTGGAGTCGCTGAAAACGACGGCGGTTTGGTCACCGGCGTCTGTTCTTCATTATGACGGCGCTTTACCTCTGATTAATGAGATGTTTTGCAGAGAGATTGATGAGTTCGAATTCAACATGGAGGCGGTGGCAAGATTGCCGGCGGCGAGGAGGCAGTGCGGCGGCGAAGAAGATTTCGGGGAGGTAGAGCTGGACTTGGACTATTTCTTGGTTGACGTCCTCTAAGGAAAGAAAAGTTCTAAATAGCGTGGAATTTCCATTAACATTCAACGACGTCGCGAATTTAATAATAATAATAATAATAATAATAATAATAATAATATGGTGATTTTATTAAATTAAATATTAGGTGAAATTTGTGATGTGGCTCAAATTAATTATAAACGACAAGTTAAATTGTTTTTGGAGGTTAATTATGTCTGGAAATAAAACGTTTGAAAATTAAATAATTGTGTATGGGTTGATAAATATAAAAAAGAAATAATAATAAAAAATAAAACTATTTTTGTTTAATTTCGTAATTATTTCCAACAATATTACTACATTACTTCATTTTATTATTATTAGTTAGTTTTTTTTTATTAAGTAAACTTATTTAAATAAATTTGCCTACTTTAAATTTAATTTTTATTCATAAAAAGCATATTAGTGTGTAATTTATTTTTTTATTTTATTTTATTAGCTATTAATCATTATGCTCAAACAAATTAACTTGAAAATTATTAGTGCAATAATTAAACCTAAATGCATAGGATGTATACAAAGTCGAACAAGAAAAGTTTTAGTATTTTTGCTTTTTCTATAATTGTTTTTTTTTTTTTTTTTTTTTTTTTTTTTTTTTTTTTTTTTTTTTTTTTTTTTTTTTTTTTTTTTT